AAACATTTCTTATTATTTTTAATGTTGAAAATGGTTGCTTAATATTTCCGTGGATTTCAGGACTATTTGATGAATAGAAAGTTCAAAACAACAGCATTTATTTGAATTCGAAATCTTGTGTAACATTATAAATGTCTTTACTGGCACTTTTGATCTATTTAATTCACCCTTGCTGAATAAAATATTTAATTTCTTTCAAATAATAATAAAAAAACAATCTTACTGACCTCAAGCTCATCCCATTCCTGCTTCCTTTAGCATTTAGCATTATGTTATTAGCATTTAGCATTGTGTTCATTTAAAAAAAAAAAAAACACTGCTTTTGCGTAAACTCTGGTTTAGTTCAAAACATTAGCCTAGTTTACTTGCTGTGCACTGTGCCAGACGCTTCACTGCACTAATAGGAAGTGGAATGTGGTTTGTGGCGTTACGAGTGAAGCCACTAATGAATCAGCGTCTCTGACAGAGGGAGGCAGAGAGTCTGTGGTTTGGGCAGGGACAGAGTAAGCAGGAGCGTAAAGGATTTACGCAAAACTTTTAGACGCACTCACATTTTCGTTTGGGCATCCGATAGAATAATGACAACTTTCATATAACTTTAGAAACCCACACGGCCTCCACATTCTCTCTAATGGCACAAACACACTTATAGCTTCCTCCTCTCACTCCCACTAGCTTTAGACAGAATAGCTAATCAGGCTGAACATCAACATTCATTTTGTTGTTCCAGCTCAAGCTTGATGTTGTCCTCCCGTTTTGTAGATTATATCATCAAGTTATGTAGAGTTGGTTTATTTAGCTGACTTGGATTCTCTGGCTTCTTTGAATCTGTCATGGTGGTTTAAAATATTCCAAATCAAATTCTTTGGCGGACGATGGTGGCCTATACAGAGTGATTTTATTTATGCTTACAAGACAAACAATCATTCACTCGTACACACAGCAGATTCGTAATATATCACTGTTCTACATTTAACTCAGCGACTGTTATATATGGGATAAAAAATGACCTTATTACACAGACATGTTCTCTGCCACTATATAAAGATGATTAAGTGTCACTACTTATTACGAGCCATTCTTTACTGTAGCCTACCTCCCAGGAAAATATCATTTTTAGTACATAACAGTCCTGAAGCTGTTTCTATTAAGAATTACAAGGTTTTAATAGGTGCTTAGAAATACTTAGAAATACTCTTAAATAACAGCTAAAGGCTTAATGGAATAATACACTCAAAATGAATGTGAAACAAAATTGAATTATATTTCAGCTGTTTTGGTCCATATGCCAGGATACAAAACAATATTGGTTTCCATTGACTTAAATTCAAATTCAATCTCTTTAATGGAGAGGTTGATGGGTGTGTGTAGGTGTAAAAATAGCAAATAAATCTGAAGTGCTGTCAGATGTGAAATATGTTCTGGCATGTGGTGCATATTGATGTTCTCATGGTTGTCGGAACCCCTCTGAATCAGCTGTCAGATCAGTTTCCCGCATACACACTTTATTCAAGAGCACAGGCTGTTTTTGAGAACCATGCAAGAATTTTATGATGGATTTCATGATGTGAGATTGCGTTTCCTCCCTCGTCTAATATAGCTACTGCTTCCCATACTTTACTCCTTCACAAAATGAGAAGAGAATGTCTCTAATGTGATCATACAAGAGGGTCTTGACAACACTGATTTATATAACACTTCAGAATTGGACTACACATAAACACAGTAGTGTTCAACACGCTACACTACTGTTTTAAATACTTTGAACTTGATCAAAACTGACAGTAAAGACATTTCTAATGTTACAAAAGTTTTATGTTTCAAATAAATGCCGTTCTTCTGAACTTTATATTCATCAAAGAATAAAAGTTTCACAGTTTCCACATGAATATTAGGCAGCACAGCAGTTTTCAACACTGATAATAATAAGAAATGTTTCTTAAGCAGTAAATCAGTATATTAGAATGATTTCTGAAGGATCATGTGACACTGAAGACTGTAATTATGCTGAAAATTGAGTTTTGCATCACAGGAATAAATTACATTTTAAAATATATTAAAATAGAAAACAAATATTTTAAATTGTTGTAATATTTCACAATGTATTTTTGTTCAAATAAATGCAGCCATGGTGAGCATGAGAGACTCTCAAAACATTTAAAAATCTTACCGACCCCAAACTCTTGAACAATAGTGTGTGTTTCCTCATACAGCTGTTGTGATGCCTCTGGTCTGCCCATTGAATCTCTATCCATGTACTGTCCTGTCACTGTATGCTGATCTATAGTGCCGACATTCCACAGGCAGTGTGAGTGTGTGTGGAAGAGACAATTTAAGAGACCAAAAATGAGTGTGTTACCACTACCCCATGGTTAAAAAATGTCTCAATTAACAATTTGAAGTGTGAAAGCCCATATATGTGACCCTGGACCACAAAACCAGTCTTAAGTCACTTGGGTATATTTGTAGCAATAGCCAAAAAAAACGTTGTATGGGTCAAAATTATCGATTTTTCTTTTATGCCAAAAATCATTAGGATATTAAGTAAAGATCATGTTCCATGAAGATATTTTATACATTTCCTACCGTAAATATATCAAAACTTAATTTTTGATTAGTAATATGCATTGCTAAGAACTTCATTTGGACAACTTTAAAGGCGATTTTCTCAGTATTTTGTCCTATCCTAACAAACCATACATCAATGGAAAGCTTATTTATTCAGCTTTCAGATGATGTATATATCTCAATTTAAAAAAATTGACCCTTATGACTGGTTTTGTGGTCCAGGGTCACATATGTGCAAGGAAATGGCTAAGAACAACATTATTAGTGTGTAAGTCATGTCATGAAAACGGCAAGCAAATACTCAAAGCTACTGACAAAATCTGTATTGAGCTGACTCTGGCTATTTATGCCACAAATCTGTCTGAACACAAATATGTTCCAGCTGAGCCCTGTCAAACAACGGAGAATTACAGTATTCATGGGGAAGTGTATAGCCGTGGCAGCTAGTCCATTACATAACGGAAATGCCAGCTTAATTGCCTGTTAACACAAGCTGCAGATGGCATTGAATGTTTGTCACACTCAAGTGCACCCAGAGGGCTTTGCACTAATATTGCCAGTAACTAATCAGGTGCTCAAAGCTGCAGCTGTGGATCAGGATACTGGAAAACATTTTGAGGTTGGATGGACAGGACTTGATTTTACCCATTGGGAATTGGATTGGAAAAAGGTTGGAAATACATATACCACAATGAAGCCAGATGGATGATGAGTTGAAAAATAAGGAAAATTCATGTTATTTGTTAGAGGGTCAGGAAAAATAATCTAGTTTGATTTGAATTAAGATTATGTTTCTTGCCCCATTGGCAGATCTTTTTTTCTTAAGCAAAAACTAGCACATTTTTTTAAAATTAAAAAAAAAAAAAACAAGACTTAATATTTTAGGTCATTTTGCTTCTCACGTAAATGCATCTTGATTCAAGAATGTTTAGATATTTAACAAGACAAAAATACTAAGTAAGAAAATAATTTTTTTGCGGTGTTGATTCATGAGTCCATTTCAATTCCTTCTCTGAGGTTTCATATGAGTTTTCTGAAATAGGCAACACGGTCTCAAGAGATATTGTATCTGTTTTACAGGTCGTACAAATTATTAAGAATTTCGTACCAATTCACCAAAATGTAAAATATTGTATTGAAAATAAGATAGCTTGGTAGTAAATTACTAGACTGGTTCTGGATAGTGCAGATGATCCTTAAATAGTCTGTGTTTTGCTTCCTTTTCTTGATGACCCAGAGACTTTTATTAGTGCTTTTAGTGTCTTTATTTTGGCCTCAACAACTTGGGCCTTCAAGTTTTTGAAGGCAACAACTATAAACCTTCATGGCATTAGCTGGGTCACGCAGCAAGTTATGAAAATCCTTCTAGAGTGTTCTTCGACTTCCTGCATTAGTTCAAGATGGGAGACAATTGAAAAGTACATAGCCATTTAGTAAATGTATTAAGTGCTTTAGGCAATCTATAACCTGACGTCTTGCGCTACAGTGTGTCTTGTCGGCTACATCTAACCAATACTTCATAATAGTTTTCATTTAATATTACAAGTTTAAAACTTAATTGATTTTACTATGGAATCCTGGGTCACATTAGGACCACAATGGGGCCATTGCTTAAGTTACTGAGACTCAAATAGTGTTGACAGCGTTTTCACTCCCTGGGTGTAACACGTTTCTCTTGACAAGTTATAAATCTGTCAGTGGCAGTGGGATATCTGACAACTGCATCTTATTTTTATGTCTGTCTTTAATCCATTATGTCTGCTCCCTGTTAGCCTCAGTGAACATGAGAGACACTTTATCAGTTATTGTAAGAAGTGTGTTTGGAAATCCTCAACTGTTGCTATTTTGAAGTGGAGCAACATTATCATAACATTATCTTGCCATAATTTAAATCTGTTATCTTGTTAAAATGTCTATTGGGTAACATTATTTAGTATTCATGTGAGACAGATACAAATGCTATGATTAGATCCCACCACACACATTCCTTCCACACCTCATGCTTCATGTTTGCAATACTGATAGTGACTAGAGAGAGGGAAAATGTGTGTAATGCACAGTAAAATTAACACATAGCAGGCACATTGAGTGTATTCTTGGTGTCCAGACTGTCTGGTGTCAGTCAGAGTATTACTACAAACACACACACACACACAGACGCCACAGTTTTAGCTGTTGTCTGTCATGGATCCATATTAAGGTCTATGTCGCCATTTGATACACAATAAACATGTTTAAAACAGAATATCCTCTATATCTGTCACTCTGAATAAATATAACCTGTGCTAGTCATAGAACTGCTAGACAAAAATACACGGTTGCTAAACAGTTTAGGCACTTTAGCAGGTGGTATTGGACATTAAACAACTATTTATGCATGTGTAGATGAATCAATTTTGAGATTATTTAGAATAGTTTGATGTGTTTTACAGGTGAAAGTGTCCTTCTTCAGAACACAGTTCAGTGGAGATCTTCATTATGAACACAGGTAAGTCTATTATTAAAATACCTGTGTAAGTTGTTAGCTACAAATGCAACAAACCAGTTATTGTGCATTTTTAAGAAACTTTTGTGTAAAAATGTTGTAACATTGTAACATCTTGTGTTAGAAAGAGGTGCAGTACGTGCTTCTTGATTGAACCAAACCAAATGCATTGCATTGTGGGATATGCTATAATATTCCACACAGTAAGCTCTGTTTTGCTCATTACTGCTCATTTAGGAAAATAAAGTAATATTATTGGTCCGAAATCAGGCTCCATATTACTTTAGGCATAATACATATAAAATGTGTTCACATCATGCCTGGTTTGGAAACAGTGTCATTATAATCTGTCATCTTTCCCAGAATGCTTTGCAAATCAGTTACTGCACAAGTTGTATGCTGTTCTCTAAAGGAAGACTAACTTTTAATTGCTACAACACAATACTGTTCAAAAGTTTATAGGGTCAGTAAGATTTTTGTTTTACGTTTTTTTTCTAAAGAAGTCTCTAATGCTCAAGTAACATATTTTTTTTATTATTATTATCACAAGTGAAAATGGTTGTGTAGCTTAATATTTTTGTGGAAACGGTGATGCATTTATTGTAACATTATACTGTACATGCCTTTACTGTCACTTTTGATCTATTTAATGCATCCTAGATAAAATCTAGTAATCTAACTGACCCCAAACTTTTGAACTGTAATGTTCATCATTGAATTTTATTATTATTATTTATTTTTTTATTTTTTATTTTTTTGCATAATCTTTTGCTGCAATAATGTTGCATTGACAATGCATGTGCTTTGCTTTCTGTTTGTTTTGCATGTGGGCTTCTGTGTGTGCGTGTGCAAACAAACATACTCCAGATAGCGGAGGACGTGCTCATAAAAGAGCGTGTGCTTTGCTTTCTGTTTGTTTTGCATGTGGGCTTCTGTGTGTGTGTGTGCAAACAAACATACTCCAGATAGCGGAGGACGTGCTCATAAAAGAGCGTCCCTGTCGCTCACTCTCTGGCCTGTGAAGAGGGTCCAGATCTCACCCAACCTGTACGCAGCTGCAGGTATCAGTGATGGAGCAGGGCTGTCTAATAGACACAGAGTTTTAGAATGTCTTATCTCATTTAGCTTACCGTTGTTTCATCTGCCTTCATTATTTAAATGGGTTTTCTCCCCGTGTTCTGTTTATATGTGCTTGTTTTACGTTTTTATGTTCACAACATCTGTTTTGTTCCATGTCTTGCTGCATTTGTCTACGTTATCCTTTTTTTCTGTCATTATTTACTCTCTCTCAGTGTTGTTTTGTGTGTTTGAATTATTACTTTGAGGCCAGTTCCATGTTGCCTCTATAATATTTGTAGTATTTTAGTATATAGTATTTTAGTTTATAGGTTGAGATATGACAGCACGTCTTTAAATTTTGAAAAGATGCACTGTTGTACTCTTTTAATGTGGAAATGTTTAAGGCACAGACTGATTTGAAGAAATAAAATGGATGCCAATTTAAACAGCAACATGGAGACCATGCCCTTCACTTTCAGTTGTAATGGCCCTTACAGTGCTGAAACGTCTGTCATCCTGACAGCATGTGTTCATGTATAGTTTGCAAAATACAGGACCAGAATTAATTCTTGTAATATACATTTATTTATGTTTTTGTTCAAAATGTAAGTTTTCGTTCTTCCACTCTTCAGGTTAACATATGTTGTAGTTTTAATCATCATTATGAGTGAGAGGAGTAGATGGTGTTTCAAACTTTGTGTTGTCTTACTAGCTGTCTCTCTCAGTTGTGTTCAACAGCAGCTTCTGCTCTTTAATCATCTGTTCTCTGTAATTCTGCATCTCTCTTTTCATTCCCATATTGTGGCCGTCATGCACATCATTTTGGAGGGGGCACCAATAACAGGACTGACTCACATGCTGTAATGAGCAAGATAAGATATAACCAAAGGGGGAAAAATATATATTTTTAGCAAAAAGTCAAGATATAGAAATGACATAGGAGCATTAAAAACTGAGCCATGTTCTCCCTTCATTTAAATGGCTATGAGCCTTCTGCATGTCTTGTATCTTTTGTGTCATATTTGTCTTGGTTTTCTGTGGCCATTAGTGTTATGATATTAACAGAATTTTTGCAGTTCCGCATCCAAATTGTTAGCTCACTTATGTAATTGTTACAATATTGTGTTTATATTAATACAGCTTTATTTTTCCACAGGTAGTGATTCCCAGTCATCAGATTCAGGCAAGTGTTTGTTGGATGTGCATGTGATTCTGTTTTCATCAGTGTGTTTATATAAATATTCGTGTGTACTGTACAGTGACTACATGAAGTATTTGGACACTTAAGACAATATTTACTACAAGAATAAGTGTTTTGGTATTATTATTTTTTTATTTTCAAGTTTTTTTCCAAGGTTACATTTTTTTAATCTAATAATTCTATTTTATTTTATTTTGTATGAGCATTATTTCACTTAGGTTTAGTTTTAGTTAACAATAACTATAATAATTTGTTTGTTTGTGTGTGTGTGTGTGTGTGTGTGTGTGTGTGTGTGTGTGTGTGTGTGTTTGTATTTATTTATCTGTGTGTAGATGCCTGGCGTTCACGTAGTGTGTCTGAAGGGTTAAGGAATGGAGATGCCAGTAGCTCGTCCTTGATTTCTAAAGGCTTCCGCAGCGTTAGACCGAACCTACAGGATAAGAAATCTCCCACACCGGTACATATTTATTCCTAATACATTTTTACATTAATTTTGTACCCCCTTCATTTTTTTTCCACAACAAACGATCCTCTTCTTTCATGTTATGCATTGCTTCAAAATTATATAGCTTCAAAAATTATTTGGGATTAATATTCATCATGTTCTTTTTCCAATATGATAACTTCTTTCTAGAGGATTCATATCAAGTGTGATTTTCTTGACCCCTAAAGCAGTCAAATTGAAATTTCTCTGAGAAAATGTACTTTATTTGAACTGACTTTATATATTTGAATTGACCTTTTCTCTGACAGGTCCCCTTGCCGCCCCCTCGGAGAGAGAGCTATCACATGACCCCTAACCCCCCATATTACAGTTCCCTTGCAATGCTGTCAGACACCTCCCTCTCTCCCCCACAGAGTCATGATATAATTTCCACAGGCTCTTACACCTCCTCGTACTCATACTCTAAGACCACACGAACCTCCACTAGCACCCCTGGAGCCCCCCTGGAGGAGCCCCCCTTGTCCCAACAAGCTAATGCTAACAGTTTTATCACTCGGGTTCTGGGAAACAAATTGTCATCTTCAAAATTTACCACTGACCATCTAAATGCAGCACCTAACAAGACAAACATGATTAAAACTGACCCTAAGTCTAAAACTAAGCCAAAAAGTACAACTGCTCCCCCAGCTCAAGACCCCACTGCAACTTCTGAAACACACGAAGCTTCTCTCTCTATCCAGTTAGTTCCCCGCAGTCCAGAACCCCAAGCAGAGACCCAGTCAGGGTCTGAAATTGAATCCAAGAAAAACACAGTGGCCCTCGCTGACCCTACGCGAGCCCCTGTTGTACCACCAAGACCAGCGAGAAGTTTGGTGGTATTACTGTCATTTATTTACAGTGATAATGTACACTTATACTACTGGTCAAAGGTTTGGAATAATTATGATGTTTTAATGTTTTTGAAAGAAGTATGCTCGTATACTCACCAAGGCTGCATTTATTTGAATAACAAATACAGTAGAAACAGTAATATTGTGAAATATTATTACAATTTAAAAGAGCTGTTTTCTATTTGAATATATTTTAAAATAGAGTTTGTTTCTGAGAAGGCAAAGCTGAATTTTCAACAGCCATTTCTCCAGTCTGCAATGTCACATGATCCTTCAGAAATCACTTTAATATGCTGATTTGCTACTATCAGATATTATAACTTAGGCGCTTAGGCACCTATTGTATCTGTTAGTTTTCTTCGTCTTCTTTTTCTTTTTCTTCCGCTCTGGGTGTCTATAACCGCTTGTGGGAAAGTTATGAAATTTGGCACACAGATAGAGGCTCAATATTAACCATAGAAAATTTGGAGTCTCTATCTCAAACTCTCTAGCGCCACCAATAGGCCAAATTTGCACTCATATTTATGCTAATAACTTTTGAACTGTAAGGTCTAGAAGCAAATTTTTTTCCCTCTGATTCTTTGGCTCATGCCGAGTCGAATACATACCAAAATGTAAATTTCTACGGGTCAAGTTTTTTTTTCGCAATTTAGAATTTTCCGAAAAATTTAGTTTGTCCAATTTTCACCAAAATTCTCTCAGATCATCTTCAGAGCATTCTGGTAAAAAGTTATCAAAAGCTTTTTTATATACCAAACCGTTTTCGTAAAGAGCGTTAACGAATTAGACAAAATGTGTGCAAAAATAGACGTAAGGCTATATCTACACAATGCTATGTTATAACAAGCATGACCTGAGGGCACATGAGTAGTTTCAGCACAGCGGCACCTACGGGTCAAAGATATAAAAAATTGACATTTCTGCTTATAACTTGACCAGTTCAGTCAAAAATCATAAGATTGGTCTCGTTAGATTTGAACGGCGTACCAAATCGAACTATACCTACTTTTCCTATGCCGGCCTTTTGGGGCTTCGGCCATATTGAATTTTATAGTAAAATTATGTATCAACAAATGTCTTTGGATGCTTCTCAAATGGAAGGCTGCATCCTACCGAGGCTGCATCCTTCCTAGCTCAGTCCTTCAGAGTCTTGTAGGCTAGAGTCCTCCTCGGCATTAAACACTAGAATGAGACAGTCTAGTAAGTGAGCGTGGCTACGTCACACCCGCCCTCACCGTCACGGCACAAAAACGCTAATAAAACTTTGTTTTGGAAAAATACTTTGTATTACAAATTTTTATATTATTTTGCTTTCTATTAATGCAATACAACGAATCACAGTCGTCTAGTCTTCCCGCGGCTTAAGTTATTGGCAGTTTAGCGTTTAGTAAGTAATTTACACCAAAACAAAAGATAACATCTATCCTTTCATGTCCGAAAACATTATTTTTGTCTTACATTTCATAATAAATTCAGACAAACTCAGTACTGACTTGTTTTTCGTCAGTTTATTTTCGTGAAATGGAATAAGTACAAAGGATTGTGGGTGATTGAAGGTCGCGTAGGATACATCCCATGCATCCTTCAAATTCAGCTGAATGAAGGACGCGAAACAAAGGCTGCCTTCCAAGGATCCTTCTGATTGAGATGGCCTTCTGCGACGTTTGATGACATGGCAGCCGAGATATGCAGCCTTCATAGGATGCAGCCTTCTGTTTGAGAAACATCCTTTAACAGGGGTCTCTATCCCTGCTCCTCGAGAGCTACAATACTGCAGAGTTCAGCTTCAACCCTAATCAAACACACCTGAACCAGCTAATCAAGGTGTTCAGGGCTACTTAATTACAGATAGGTGTGTTGAAGCAGGGTCGGAGAACCCTGGGGCAAGTTTAAGCTCAAACCGGTGCGCAACGTTTTGCTACGGTTTCCGGTTTCAACGACATGTTTCCTGGAAACGGTGTGCAACGATGTGCAACGGGGATTTGAGATACGTTTTCTCTTGTTTGGTGGGTGTGTCAAGGAACCACAGTTTCCACAAATCCCTTCACTCGATTGGGATGTTCTCTTTTATTCTGGAGGGCAAGGGCAGTGACTGTAACAGCGAGCATATTTTGCAGTATTAAACACGTATTTATACCGATTTCATCAGGCTCCGAAAATTCTTTAAAAAGAACACAAAGAATGGCCTTCTCAGCTGCCATAGTTGCAACTCTTGTGTCAACACAACAGGGTGTTCAACGCACCACCGTTTCCGTTTAAAAAACGTTTTGCACCGTTTTGTCAGGGCTGAACGCAGCCCTGGTCTTTACTGAGTAATTAAAGACAGCTCCTTAGCTCTTTATTTTACCTCTGTTGTGCTTGGCCACTTAATTGCTGCTTGCAGCTATATTTATCAATTATTATTGGTACCCAATTATTAATAATGGTTCTTGCTATTATCAATGTTTAAAACATTGAAGTTTTTTTTTTTTACTTTTATTACTTACCCCAAACTTTGGAATAATATATATCATGGTTTACACAAAAAATATTAAGCAGCACTCACTGTTATCAATACTGATAATAATAAGAAATGTTTCTTGAGCACCAAATCAGCATATTATATTATGTTAATGGCTTCTGAAAATTAAAATATGAAACAGTTCTTTTCCATTTAATTCAGTTTTTTAAACTGTTTTTCTCATCAAATAAATGCAGCCTTGGTGAAATCTTATTTATTCCAAACTTTTGGAAATTTTTGTAGCTCTCTTTCTTAAACTGAGTGTAACCCATTTAGCACTCATTCACCCTCATCTGATGGAATAGAGTGAATGTACACAGACGGCTTGATGAAAGAGCGTGTGTGTTTACTGCTAATTACTATTTTCTTTCATTTTTCCAGCCAAGTACCTTTTATTCCTTCCCACAGATTCACCTGTTCTTCTTCACTCAACATGGTTCAATCTGCCTGTGCTCACCGGCTTTGTTTTGCGTTCACTTTAATAACTTGTCTTCCTTCCCTTTTATTCCCTCCCACCCGCCTCCATCAGTGTGAGTTTTCCCCTGTAAGAGGGAGCATCGGGCCGCTCTCTTCTGGACCGCCTTCCCCAGACCCATCAGCTCGCCGGTCACCGTATAGCCGGGCCAGTCAGGATTCCCCTGACTTCCTTTCAGGGCTATTGCCCAAAGCCCTCTCACCGACACCCTACGCCCCTCTGGAACGTTCCAGGCTAATGTCGGCCTCACCTGCTCCGTCACCAGTAACTGTGTCGGCGCTGAGTCATTATTCATCATCCACGGCTGGGCTGGAGGAGCTGCGGATCTGTGGCATGGACTCCTCCCCTGCGGCCACGCCCACCCCATCCCCCACACTCAGCCACGCCTCCAATACCCCTGACGAGCTTCCTACCGCCCTGTCAGCTGCCACGGGCACTAACGTAACTATCACGCTCGACTGGCGCACCTCACCTCAGTCTGGTGTCACGTTTGTTTGACTCTACTCTTGTTTGTATGTCCTCACTAGTTTTTCAGCGCTGTTGAATGTCTAACTTTGAGTCACATGCTTTAATGCGTCAGCTTATAGCAGGTGGCTGCTTTGTCTTTTGTGTTTTATGCTTGATTTTCACTCTGTTCTATGCAGCTTTTCATTGTGTGCTATGTATGTTGTTTCCCGTTTAAAGTCAACATGCACACATAATGTGAAGTGAAATAATGTAGAACTGTAGAATGTGACCTGATTTTATCCATCTGGAATTAAAAGGGTCAGAGTCCATGCCATAATGGAGCCAGACCTAAATGAAAGTTGAGGAAGAAGATGAAAAATATTAGATAAAGTAGATCTCAAACTACTATATACAAATGGCATATAATGGTAAAAAATCTATTGTAATTTGCTATTACTGCTGTAATGTTTATTAATATATAAATGTTCACTACTGTTCTAAAGTTATGAGTCAGTAAGATCTTTGGTGTTTTAAAAAGAAGATCCTTACAAGCAAGGCTGCATTTATTAGATCAAAAATAGTAATTTTAATAATGTAATTTATTTCTGTGATTACAAGTCTTCAGTGTCACATGATCCTTCAGAAATCATTGTAATATGCTGATTTGTTTCTTATAAATATCAACGTTGAAAACAGTTATGCTGCTTAATATTATTTTGTTTTGATCAATAGAAAGTTAAAAAAACAGAGATTTAAAAAAAGATTTCTATTTATAATAGAAATATTTTTTAGCAATATAAATATCTCTACTGTAACTTTTTGATCATATATATATATATATATATATATACAGGGACGGATTATGACTCAGCGGTGCCCTGGGCAAGGACCGATTAAAGGCCCCCCTCGGGTTGAAATTTAATTCCTTTTTTATTCTAAATTTTCCCAAACTTGTTAACTATATCATAAAATATCACAATTCTCAAATATAAGTAAATACATTTTGCACCTTTATAGATCGTGTTTATCTATAATGGGCTATGGGAAAAGTAACCTAATATTAGTGTAATCTATTAACTAGCCTATGCATAAAATCCGTCTTTTAACTTGTACTAGATATGGGTGTCATATCATAGAATATTTTTAATACGACTGACTTTGTATTTAACGTAAATTTAATAAAAACATTGTAAGTTACTAATTATAACACTTTCATTGTACATAAAGAGAGCAAAGAATATTTGCATTATCAAAGAATATTAACTTCAGTCTAGACAGAGTTCAAGCACTCTCAACAACTCCCATTATAATCACTGAAGCTGTTTATACTGTGAAATGAATATCTTACTTACATCGTACACACATCTGCACTTTGTTTATGATGAGAGAATTCGCCAGAGAAAAATCACCGAAGCTGTTTACACTGTGAAATGAATATTTTACGTACATTCGTACTCACATCTGCACTTTGTTGTTTCTGATGAGAGCAAAACACCGTGTTTCAGTGTTGACTCATCTGAAAGTCTCTGATTGGCCATTGCATTCATAAGCTCAACAGAATCCTGTGTGATTGGTTATAATGCGCAGCACTGTAAAAACGCGTCTGGCTCAGCGCCAGCCAAAGCACGAACACAGATTTGAATTTGGCAGCTGATGCTTTGCCGCACTGAACGTTCTAATCGTATCAAATATTTAAAAAAATATTATTCAGCCATTTTTGGTCTTTTGGAAGCTGCTTTCAAAATCCACTTTGCTTAAAATCCTGAGGGGCCACGGTTGAAATCGCATTCCTGGAGGAGCAGTATTTCGACTGGGCCCCCCTCTGGTCTAGTGCCCTGGGCATGTGCCCGGTAGATCAAAAATAGTAATTTTAATAATGTAATTTATTTCTGTGATTACAAGTCTTCAGTGTCACATGATCCTTCAGAAATCATTGTAATATGCTGATTTGTTTCTTATAAATATCAACGTTGAAAACAGTTATGCTGCTTAATATTATTTTGTTTTGATCAATAGAAAGTTAAAAAAACAGAGATTTAAAAAAAGATTTCTATTTATAATAGAAATATTTTTTAGCAATATAAATATCTCTACTGTAACTTTTTGATCAAATTATGCATCCTTGCTAAATAAAAGTATTAATTTATTTTTTTCTACAAACACA